AAAATTACTTACCGCTGTTTGAACCGCAATTTCTCGGGTGTCTTTCAGGCTCAAGGAGGAGCCAGTAGGTTGGATGCGCTAAAACCATGAAATTAGCTTGCAAAAAGTACAATGAATTGGCATAGAACAAAAACGGCATTCTCGCTATTCTTCGACAAACTACAAAATGCAACTATAGGCTACACCCCAAGTTTGTATATTCTTACCTCAAAAGGCTCATCCAACATGTCATGGGCGCTCTTGCTCCGAGGCTGATGCTTGACGGCCAGGCTATCCGAATCCTCGCTGATACCATTGAGCAGGTGAGCAGTTGTGTACTCGAAGTTTCGTGCTAAAATCGATGATCAATTTGTCTCTAGTATTTCATTCCAAACCTCTTGACACCGTAGCAAGATCATCCTGAAGTCGGAGTCCGGAGTAGGATCTGATACTGGCTTCAGAAGAGGTGGAGTTGGAGAGCGCGACACTGTTATTGCGCTTCTTTTCGACTAAAAAAAGGGATCAGAGAGCGAGAGAGAGAAAGAGAGAGAGAGAGAAGCGAAAGAGAGGGCGAGAGAGACAGAGAAAGCGAGAGATACGGGTATATCTCTTACCAGCTTGTTGCAGCGAATCCTCCTTTGCATCTGCTCTGGTCCTAGTCGGTTCAGGGGCACTTTTCAGTGACGGTAACACCTCTTTGTTCTTCTTTATTCTGCGCTTTCGGACTGAAAAGGCTTACTTAGAATTTTTCATACCTAAATTTTTGAATTTTCGCATCATTGTTTATGCAGACAGATTTTTAAGATGCGACCCACATCATTACCCTACTCCCAGTCAGGTCAACCCAATTTCCAAATCCCTAACCCGACTCTCATCAGCGTCACTTTTCCCGTTCATCAATTCCGGACACGACATCCGGACCCCCGGTATCTACGTCACAATCCTCCCCTTCTGGCTGGCTCCCCGGGCGAAATATGGCCATTTCTGATGGCGGCCCCGACTCGAGGCCAAAGCGAGCGTGATTAGGCGCTATTTCCAAAAATGGACACCTGGCCCTGGATATAGTGGGCGCGGTATTTTTAGCTGGGCAACTGGGAGTGATACTCTTTTTCGCGAGAGAGAAAGAGGGAAACGAGAGAGAGAGAGCGAGAGAGAGAAAGAGAGAGAGCGTGAAAAGATATAAAAAAGATAGTGAGAAAAAGTAAAAACACGGGATATTCGGATGTTTAGACATTCGGAATTCTCGAAATTCTCTGAAAAGTCAAGGGCATCCGTTTTAGGGTAAATTATTCAAGGTTTCCATGAATCACGCGTCAATTTTTACGCCTTTTTAATTTTTTGCTTTTTTGCCCGACCTTTACACCTTGAAGCAGAGTTGGTGGTTACCAAAAAAGGGGATACGAAGAGCACGGATTTTGTCTATTGTTTTGAATTATAGATTCCAATGTTTCACAATTTTTACGAAAATCCCAATATCGCCAAAATCCCCGGATCCTGACGCCCTAACCCCAGACCGGATCAACCGCTGATTCACCCAGTTTTGCTTATTTTTTAGGGTGAACGCCGGCTTTGGTTACAGTAACTTGGGGCAATACAGGATTTTGGTGCCTGTAAAAACAGGATTTGCGAGATGAAATTGAGACACTGTACCAATAAAAGTGAGTTATATCATAAGTGTATGACGGCCGTAAAAGCTTACCAATATTCATTGCCGTCACGCCAGGCGCAATATCCAATACTGGGTTCTGCTCCTCGCGAAACATGTTGTATTGTCTGGAAAAAGGTTGAGATGAATGTTTGAGCCGGTTTTAAAAGCGATGGTGCCACCAAGCTTGTCAGCTAAACGGGCGCAAAACTATCAAGTCTGGAGATACAATGTGTTTGTAGTATTTTTAGGTTATCACTAACCTCGCCGGTGCAATAATTTGAGGCAGTTCAGCCACAAAATCGGCGCGATCGATGCCAGATCCTGCGCTGGTCGATGGTTGAGCATGGTACTTGCTGGTGGACCTAAAAGGCAAAAATTAGTATTTGCGGTACCTTTTCGTCTAAACGGCTTTTCTCTAGATAAGCTGACCGCAAAAGCCCGCTTCGCGGTTTTATCAAGTTTTCTCTGTGAAAACTTATAGATCAAGGTAAATCCAAATCGCAGGAAACTCAGCCTCCATTTAATTGCATTAAAATATCGATTCCTACTTCGGTACGATATGCACCTATGAGCGCGGAAAAAAACGTATTTTCAGGTTTTGATCGCAAACAAACTACAAACCATAACCTCCTCGTGAATAAAAACTACAATTTTTTTCTACCATTACTCACGTGCTCTCCGTCCTTTTATGCCTACGATTGGCGAGCATGAATAGCATTTGATTGGATGGCAGAATTTGAGAAATTCGCAAAATCACAAAATGAGCTCTAAGGCCCGCCAATTAATAAATTAGTTTCCGGGTCGAGCCGGTCCAGCAAGAATATTTTTCCGGGTCAGATAAGAGGGGATTGGGCCCGGTTGGGCGTGAAACTCATCGGTTTTGGCCCGGCGGATGGCAAGCTGCCTGGAGGGCTCGACCTTCGTGCTCTGAATTTTTGAGCAGGGTGAAGAGTTTTGGTGGGGTGGGGTTGGGCCCGGAAGAAAAAGAAGCTTCAATAATTCTTCTAGTTCGGACCCGGCTGCGGAATCGGTTGCAAACGAGACCTAATCGATTCGAGGGTGGGAGGTTTGAGCTCAAAAAAATGTGAGCAATTTAGCTCAAACTCGCGCACTAAATAAATATATTTAAATTCGACGTCTACTAGACGATATTTGCGGTAAGGTTGCTCGTGAATGCTTAGATATGGTCGACTTATAGAAAAAGCCGCTTCGCGGCTAGAAGAAGGAAGTAGGCGTGTCTTTGAAGTCGAGGTTTCAGAATAAAGGTTGCAAAAAACGTTTTTCTTCTAGCGGACGTACAGTTCTTGTTGTCGTACGTAATCAACGTTGTGCTCGAAATTGCAAAAAACGCCGCTGCGCGGTTTTTTGGAAAGCTGAATACCCGTGACCCCAAAAGTATGCTAGCAAAATCCCTTGAATCGAAACGATCGCTTTTGCTTTATAGCCAAAAATGATGATTTCGGAATAAGTAGCGGTCCGGAATCTTGATTCGGTATGAATCGGTACGACTACTATCGTAAATTTCGGAACGGCGGACACTCGTAATCCGCCTTTAATCAATGCAACAATGTGATGCCCTAGAGACCGCATCTTTTTTCCAGACCTCCGCTAATTTCCGAGATAGATTTCGTCTCTGGGGAAAATCAAGCGGAGATTGGCTGGTTTTCATTGACGGCAAGTAGCAAAATTAAGTGTG